CCCCAAAGAAGAGGGAGTTAAACTATTCTCCAAAGAATCTGAGCGTAGGACAAGAAGCAATGGGTGGAAACTAATCAAGGAGAGAAGCAACCTACAACTAAGGAGAAATTTCCTGACAGTTAGAACATTTAATCAGTGGAACAACTTGCCTCCAGAAATTGTGAACGCTCCAACACTGAAAGTTTTAAAGAAAATGTTGGATAACCATTTGGCTGAAGTCGTGTAGGGTTTCCTGCCTGGGCAGAAGGTTGGACTAGAAGACCTCCAAGGTCCCTTCCCTTCTGTTATTCTCTTTTCTGTTTCCCCAAAATTTCTGTTGTTAAGTGAGACATTTGTTAAGGGGGTTTTTGTCCCATTTTCTTGCCTCAGTTGTTAAGTGAATCACTGCAGTTGATAAGTTAACAACCTGATTGTTAAATGAATCTGGCTTCCCCGTTGACTTTGCTTGTCAGAAAGTTGCAAAAGGGAATCACATGACCTTGGGACCCAGCAACGGTCATAAATATGAACCAGTTTCCAAGCATCTGAATTTTGATCACCTGATCATGGGGATGCTGCAAAGGTCATAACTGAAAAACAGTCATAAGTCCCATTTTTCAGTGCCATTGTAACTTTGAACTGTCACTAAAGGAACTGTTGTAAGTTGAGAACTACCTGTATACTTTAAAGGCATGAAAGGATTAGAGCATACACAGAATGTAACCTAACTCAGCTTTTATTACTGCTGCTGAGAAAAGCATTGTGACCTAATGCTCTATCTGCATAGATAAAGCCTCCAGGCTAATTGCCAAGTAGCCTAGCAAAATAACTTGTGAAATGCAAAATGTGAATTCTGCTTGTAACATAAAATGTGTATTCTCAGCAAACTTATGTGAGATAGCACCTCCTAACAAAGCTCTGGGCTATATGCCAGAAAATGTATTCTTTTCCTCCTTTCTGAGGTCCTTTGTTTTCAGAGTGCTGAGAAAATCATGCAGTTTGCATGAACTAATGGATATGAAATCATGTTTCTAACACTATAACAATCTGTGCAAGCTGTGTAAACTATAAGAAGTTCGAGAAAAAGTTTTTGTGTGCAGCAGCTTCAGCTTTTGCTTTTTCTCTCTCTGCCTGCTCTGTTTAAGGTGGGAGATAAAAGGTCGCCCAGCTTCATCTTGATCAATAATAAAGCTGAATATCAGTGGCCTCGTATTCAGAGTTTCATTGGATTTATCAGATTCTGAGCTGCACTCAAAAACCTTACAGGCTAATGAAACACCCTAACTTCTCTCCCCATTCAAATGAGAGGTAAAACAAGGAAAATCTAATTCCTGCTAATATAAATAACATAGCAGTCTCCACTTCGTATTTTTTTCAGTCAAAACAATTATCCTCCCATCTTTATTAAATGAAGCTCATGCTCACAAAAAAAATGGCCCTTTCGAAGAAAATTAATATCCCTAAACTTTTAGAAACTTGTGAATGCTTATTTAGGTTGTTTGCTCAATAAACATGAACGGCCTCCTACTTTAACCTGTGAGTATACACATTTAGCAATAAAAAACAAGCACTAAATCAATTGGCTTCTTTTTTAATTTTATGAAGAATGAATATTTATGATCACTTCTACATACAGTCAGCTGGGCATAGTGATTAAAATACTGGACTAGGAGATTGTGAATTCTAGTTCTTTTAGCAGAAAAGCTGACTGGATGACTTTGGGCTAGTCCCACTTTCTTGGCTCAACCTACCACACAAGGGGTTGTTGTGGGAAAATAAGAGGATGGAGCATTATGTATATAACAACCTGAGCTGTACAAAATGAAAGTCAGATATAAACAATATAAATAAATAAATAAACAAACCCAATGGCTGGTTTTGTAATGTGTTGTTAGTTTTATCTTAGTGTGGTATAAAACCCAAGCCCCATAAAACCCAAAATATCAGTGTGTTTAGGCATCATCCAAAACTACATCAGTTATAAATACCTTAAGTATCTTTATGATATTTTGAAGGAATATAAGGAATGCAAGAATATTTAAGGAATACCTTAAGTATTTTTATGACATTTTTATAGTATCTTTATGTTATATTTGGAAGTCCCATAGGACCAGGCAGTAGGTATAATCTGAAACTGTACCATTATAACTGTTGGCATGGCAACAATTATGATATATTCTGTTAGCAGTTCCCAGGCAATAGCTTATATGCATATGTACCTTTCATGCAAGAAGATCAGAAACCCTTGAGGTCAAGTGGAGTAAGAAAGAGAAACAAACAAACAAATAAACAAAAGATTTGGAAGGAAAAGACATCAATGTCTTACATCTCAAATGGTAAGCAATTGTTACGCCAAGTGTAAGAAGGCTTTCCCCGGCCTATTAGTGGGGAATGGCAGGAATTGTCCTCTAATATATCTGAACGGCTGATAGCAAAGTTGATATAAAATAGAAAGTCTATGAGGAATTCCTCTATTACAGGGGTGTCAAACTGCCACCCACCCCAGCTCCATGAAAGCAAAAAACATCGCGATACGTCATGTGATATTAATACAACGCGGCGAGTTTGACACCCATGCTCTATTAAGTGCTCTTTTAGACTCAAACTCATGGGGGGAACATATATACATACATGCATTCATATGTATAAACATACATGGATATATGCAAACATACCCATCATGATTTCCCCTTTGGGAGTAAACAAATGTAGACAAGAAAGAAATAAAACATGTTAAAGCTAAACCTTGTTAAGGCCATGGTTGTCACCAGGTATGATGACAGATATGCCTCTTGAGTAATTAAAACATTTACATAACATTTTTAGTAGTAATAAATTACTGACACAGAGATGCAGTCTAGAAGATTTTCTAAACTTGTTTAAAGTTTCAAACTTGTACAAAGTTTGCTTTTTGGGTGATTGTTTTAAAAATGGAGTAGCAAGGATTTCATCTCTGTTCCCAACCCTTTCCAGCAATGTAGCCACATATCTAGGCAGATTTAGAGACGACTATGCTAATTGGAAACATACTTAGTAGCTTCAGAAAGTTTCCATTTCAATTTAAAAAAAAACCTTCTACAACTCATAATTTCAAGGCATATTCTTAATTTATGCATAAGATGCCTCCTTTACAGACAAAATAAAGATGATGGAGTATGTTGCCACTATAGTACTGTAGCACCTTTCCAGTTGCTCAGATATCATTTTTCTATTGTGGCAATGTCTTAGTGAAAACCTTTACCATGTTTGTCATTGATTGCACCTAGATTTTTTGGGAAAGAACTCCTAGTGTGAAAGTAGAAAATAAATCTTCAGTGACATGTTGTACTTCATAGTTTTGTATGTTGTAAGAAGTTTGTCAACCAGCTGAATGTAGTTTGATGCTCTGTAGTTGCCAAAAAAATTCTCAACTATATCCTTGAAAGTATTTTCAAATACTTTTTTCTGATCCCACTTAGATCTTCACACCTCTTGTCACCGATGACATATCTGATCTGTAGACCGAAAAAAAAGTCCTCCTGAATCTTGGCATCAGTTATTCTTAGAAACATCGGTCTTGAAATAACAAAAACCTTCAGCTTCCTTGTTCATCGTTTTCACATTTTTCATCTGTCTGAGTTTTATGTAAAGCAGAGGCAAAAAAATATCTTTGTTAGGTCAACAAATGGTTCCTGTGCCACATTTTTCTGCCCTGGAACCAAATTCTTTGGCTATTTGTTTTAAATATAATGAAATTCTTTTGCACCATTTGCATATGTAACAACTGTATCGGGTATATGCGTGCTGTGTTCCAAGCATCAGAGCCATGACTTTTAGATCTCACCGATATTCCAGTTGTACTTGGTGTACTTGTGCTTCAACAACAACAGTCCCATGTTTGTGTATGCTTCTTTCATGTGTGCAGCATAGCCAAAAGGGACTGAAGGGTGTACAGGTAGTCTTTGATTTACGAGCACAATTGAGCTGAAAATCTCTGTTGCTAAGTGCAACATTTGATAAGTGAGTTTTACCTCATTTTACGATCTTTCTTGATACAGTTGTTAAGTGAATCGCCGCAGTTGTTAATTTACCAACGGTTATTAAGTGAATCTGGCTTCCCCATTGACTTTGCTTGTCAGAAGTTTGCAAAAGGGGATCACATGACCACTGGAGACTGTGACCGTCATAAATAAGTCAGTTGTTAAGCATCTGAATTTTGATCATGTGACCGTGGGGATGGTGCAATGATTGCCAAATGTGAAAAACAGTCATAAGTCACTTTATTCAGTGACGATGTAACTTCGAACAGTCACTAAATGAACTGTTGTAAGTTGAGGACTACCTATACATTGCTATTGTGTAAAAATAGATGTGAATAAAACATAATTTAAAAAATTATTTAAAAATTAATTAAAAAATACTGTCTACTATCGACCTCACCCCATTCCTAAGAGGTCTGTAAGGGACGTGCATAAGCGCACCAGCGTGCCTACCATCCCTGTCCTAATGTTTCCTTTTATTTGTATCCATTTCATGTATTCATAATCATGTTTATACTTATATCTGTTATCTAATACATGCTTGACTAACTAACTAACTAACTAACTAACTAACTAACTAACTAACTAACAAACAAACAAACAAACAAACAAACAAACAAACAAACAAACAAATAAATAAATAAATAATGTAATAGATTATCTTCATGATTAGCAGCCGAAAATTTATAAGGAACATCCAAAAGTGTTTCTGGAAGCAAACTTTTTGTCGTGCATTGTATTCCTTCGATCCTGCCTCGAGTCGACCAATATTTACTTATGTCAGGCAGAGATACAATAAGCAGAACGAGCATTTTACAGCGATGGGCATTCGAATCTCCTTTTCCTTACCACGCCATATCCCTTCTACATTTCTAGCTCTATATTCCCGAGACAAAAAAAAAAAAAAAAGATGAGGGGGTGGGAAAGGAAGCGTCGAAATAACGATGACGCCACGGGCCAGCCCTGAGCTCTCAGCCAATGGAGTCTTCCCAGCGCTGACTTCCTTGGTTGAAGGGGCGGAGCAAGCGAAAGAACACCGAGGGGTCGGCTAACTAGGGGATTGCCGGGCACTCTCGGGGCGGTGGCGAGGCGGCGGGAGCGATGGTTTACATTTCGAATGGTGAGAACCGGAGGTTTTTTTTGACGGGTGGGGAGCTCCTATCCCGGGGAGGAGGAACGTTCAGGTGTCTCAGCGTTCTGTTTTGCCTGGCTTTGATCCCGAGGGAGGGCGGGAGCAGCGCAGCAAAGGCGTAACACAGCCTGGTGGTTTACCTGGCCGCTTGCTACCTTCCTCTTGGGTACCAAGTTGGGCTGGAGTCGTCCCGGCAATGCGCACGGAAAGGAATTCCCGCGGATCCGCCGGTGAAAAGATCACTCTTTAAAGGGGCGCGGTGGGGGAATCACTCTGTCTTGCATTATTCTCATGGCCTTTTTATTACATGTCATCTTTTGATTTGATTTGATTTGATTTGATTTGATTTGATTTGATTTGATTTGTCGCTTCTGGAACTATAATTATTAACCTGAACAATGAAAGGAATGGCCATGCCTGGGTTTATAAACAAACTTTGGATTAATAATATTGTATGATCAGCTCTTTTATTACCGTATAGGATTATTGCCATTATTATTTCAAAACAGTAATCATCGTTGTTTGTTCTGGGTTGTAGGACAAGTTTTGGATAACCGGAGTCGGGCTCCATGGAGTTTGTCATCTATAACTGACTTCTTCTGGGGAATAGCAGATTTCATAGTTTTGTTGTAAGTGAAGTTTCTCCCTCAAATAAAAAACAAACAAATATGACTTATGCAATTATTATTCCCCTTGAGACACTTCAGGCCTGAGTAGATTAGTATATATAATGGATGCATTTTACAGTTAAATTTATTTAGCAAAACTCCAATGGAGTAGAAGAATCTCATTCTTATTGCTCTTCTTGTGGAGTTTTTGATTAAAATTAATCAAAACATATAGTCAATGTCTTAACAAAAGACTGGAAAGGAAATTATAAACAAGGCTGAATTTTCAGAGGTAATTTTCTAAGATTTATAAAGTAATTTAGATATGTACAAATAAATACATAGCTTCTCTATGTATAGAATTCCTTGTATAATGGAGTTTTTGGAAAAACTAACAATTTTTGGAGTATACTTGAATATCTGGAGAAGGCCACTGAACTAATAGTTGTTTCTCAACTATTGTGCTTGTAACACCTCTGAATCCATATTTAATTAAAAGATCAGATGGATTAAATAACTTTAAAATAAAATTTCAAATTTGAAGAAAAATTTCAACATTAAAAAATGTTGGCTGTTCCTTAAAAGGTCAGGCTTCCGCCATTAGGCAATGTGAAAGTGCTTCCCAGCCTTGATGAGTGATGAGAAATAGTGGAGACAAAGAATTGGGTACTGTAGCTTGGTCCACATTTCCTGACAATGTTTTCTGATCCAGGATCATATTTTCTCATGAATAACAAAATGGAATTCAGCTACTGTTATAATCCATTTATATATGTAATGTAATGGTAATATTATCTTGTCTTCCACAGGCAGTGAAATGTCTAGTGCTGGCCTATTTGACCTATCAGTCTGCAATACCATTTAGATGTTATATATTCTATGTCTTTGGACATTTTAGCTATTCTTTTTCAATTCAGCAAATGAAAAAACGGATGACGTAGTGAGACATTAAATAGTTCCATCCAGAAAGAGCTATAAGTTAGCTAATGCTGGGTTCCGCAAGTTTTATTATATATTGACTATTGTCCATTGTTACACAGTATTGGAAAATTATGATTTTATATAGGATAGTTAACTTCAATCATTTAAGCCCTGCATTATAAAATTCACTTAACTGATTGTGTCACATTTAATTCTCAGCTTATAAATTTTGTATTTGGTTTTGAGGGGTCTGCTAACAATAACATTTTCAGTTCTATTTCAATCTATTTCTGTGTTTGGAAAATAAATTTAGAACAACCAATTGCTTGATCTTTAACATTGGTTATTTTAAAAATAGTTTTAAAAATACTGAATATTTCAGATCTTTCTTATTTCAGTTAACAGAGATTTTCATTTTAGTTTTCAGAGCATTATTCACCCAGATTTGAGGAGAGGCTACACATCTTCCTCTTCTTCAAGATACGATGATGGAAGAGGGTATTGCTTTTTTTCACTTTAATTTAGATGAAATACAGTGTGAAAAATTGGGGTGCAATGGTTAAAAGTCGTTGTGTTTTTCCGGAGTGTCTACATATTTATAAAGCTTAAGCTCTTCTGTAGTATCTCCATTATAAATTATGTTTCCACACTTAATTATAATTGATTTTGAGTGCAAAAACAATAAAAGCTACATTCATCAGATTATGTCTTCTAAGATTCAAAGCTAAATTCATGAAAGACCAGGCTACGTAATTTTCCTTGCTTGCTTCCTCCTGCCAGGGGAATTTCAACTCTGTTATGGTTTGTTTATCGTCACAGGCATATAAGAAGTTTTCACATAACTATGGACCTCTTCAGAGCTACTTAGTCAAGTTCTGTAATTTTGACAGATGGACATATTCCCATGGTCACATGTTCAATTTTGGATGCTTGGAAACTGGCTGCATTTATGATCTTTTCGGTCAAATAATTATGATTTGTGTTGTTTTATTGCCATTTTCTGATATTTACTTCTATTTTTTTTTTAAAAAAATGCCCAATGAAAAAAACTGTTTCATTAGCTTAATGACCATGACAAAAAAGATTGTAAAATTAGGCTGGTCAAGTGATGACTTGCTTAATGCCACAATTTAAGACCAAAGCAACAGAAGAGAATATTTGTAGCTCAGGGTTACTTGGTGGTCTCTAAGCTTATTTTTTTCAGGCTCAATTAAGGTTGTAAATCCAGGACTACCTATACTTAATTCTTATTTTGGGCATTTATTTTCTAATGAACCAGTTGTAAACCATGAGTTCATTGGGTTTATTCTGCTTTGGAAAAGAAATTTCTGTACTTGTCTAATTCAAAATATGTCACAGAAGGGGTTACCTAAATACAATCATATCTTTTAACAAGTGAACAGCACACATGGCTATACACTTTGTTCACATTAAATCAGTTTTTAATCTACATTATTGTGATGCCCAAATGTGACCACAGAGGTGGAAATTGCTGCTTTTTAATTTGATCTTTGTTTTTCTAGACCTCCAGGATTTCCTCGCCGTAGAATGGGTCGAATAACCCACTTTGGAGGTCCAAATCCGCCACCAATGGCTGGTGGTGGATGAGGAAGGTAGTCCATCCTTTTCTTCTTAAAATGCTCTGCCCAAAAGTCACATTGAATTCAGCTAAAAAAAATCATAATGCTCAAAGGTACAAGAATAATCTTGCAGAATTTTAAATACTTGTAGACCAAGTGGATGAGCTTTTCTGTTTCATTTTTATCCTTATTCAAAAAGGTTTATTTATTTTATTGATTTTAGCATACGCTAAATTCAAAAAGGTAAATGTATATTACATAAAATAAGATTTGAGATTAGGAAAAATGGGAATGGATATATCCTACATATATAACATCCTATGTTTCCCACTGTAGGTAGTACTTGTTTAGTGATAGTCCCACACAGTGGCCATTCGCAGTTATCATGGTGATAAAAAGTAACTTTGCAACCAGTCCTTGCGTTTGTCAACTTCACAGGTCTGCAAAGAAAAGCTGAAGTAAGATCATGAGCAGAGTTCGGTTATACTTATCAACTGCTTTGCTTAATGGTGGTCCCAATGGTGCTCACTAAAAAGGACTACCTGTAATATAGTCAGTAAAATAAATTGACAAAGAATTGCATAATACTTCCTTTCGTTCTCCAACCATCCCCTGCTTTAGTTTCCCAATTTGGGGCACTCTACATTATATACTTCTGAGAATATGTAGAAATACACTGATGATACACTGGCAAGCACTCAGTACTGTGACATTCACTGAATTATATATTACCCTTGTTAGAAAAGTTTTAAATTGCTATCATGCAGAATTTATCTGTGGATATCAAAGAAACATCAATTTAGTTTTAAACAAATTTACATTTAAGCAACTGTTTTATGGGGGAGAGAGCAAAGAATGTAATGTATGTTGCAAACTTTTCTTTTTTTAGAATTTTAAAGATTACAGTTATACAGATAAAAACTAATACAAATTACAAAAAGGAAAATAATAAAAAGAAAAAAAATAGAGAAAAAAGAATAAAAGGAAAAATAGAAAAGAGCAAGAATATAGCAAAGAAAAAGAAATAGAAAAGAAAGTAACATCTGTCTTTGTCACAAGTATAAATAATTTTAACCTACACTTTCTCTAAAAATACAACAAACAATATATCTTCATTCCATATCTCATTTTTTATCTATAAACAGATTCTTAGAACTTTTGTCGTTCAATCCTGGTCGGCAAAAAGTCCATTAAAAGTTACCAGAAATATCAGTAAAAGCCCATTAAGAGTTACCAGATGTAACAGTGTTTAATTGTTATTAACATTTAATCCTAATCCAGTCAATTTATTTAGACAACAAGCGACTTTACTTTTTTAAAAAAATCAAATCAATTTACATTTGAGCAACTGTTTTATGGGAGAGAAAACAAAGAGAATCTTGTATCAGAACCACTTATTAGACTTCTTCCATTATGGAAATTTTTAGTATTCTAGTGTATTACATTAGCATAGCTGATTCATGTTGAATAACCTAAAATTCAGTTATATGCCTAATAACTTTGGAATACAATCTAAACATATTTTAGTTAGTGCTAATATTCTACTTAGAAGTATGTAAGATCAGTGCGATTGTTGGTCTCCTCCTTTGAAAGTTTACTTACGTCTGCATCACAAACAGATTTATCAGAAGGGCTGTAGAAAGTGTATTACTATATAAAGTAAAGCAAGCTTAAAATGGCTTTTTCAGGTTCAGGAAATACTTTATTAGGTAACAGCTACCAGTAACTGTGAAAAAATAAACAAATACTTTAATCAATTTCTCTTTTCTTTCTCCATAGGTAAATGCCTGCTTTAAAAAGTAGGCATCAGACTACATATTTGCACGACTAAAAGAACCTGATCAAGAATGCTGCAAAGGGAATTGAGGGTTGCAAATATGTTGTCTAAGTGATTTAACTGCTCTGTGAATCAACAGAACAATGAAGTTGTACTGGGAATTCCATTTTCTAGGATCCAGTATAACTGAAGTGCAGTTCTATTAAATTAAATGAACCTGTTTACTGTCTGTTTTAAGCCTTTTATATAGCTGATGGGTATTTTGTGGTAGATGTAAAGTTACGGAAATATATGACTTTGCAAAATACTGATTTGGAATCATTTAATTGTAATCAATATATTTTAGAATGGACAAATTGTGCACATGAAGACTTAAAAAAAAGGATAATCTCAGAATATGTATATTAAGTTAGGGAAGAAACTGCTACAAGTTTAAACTGCTTCTAACATCCCACTAGATCTATATACCTTAAAATGCTTCTGGTGAAATTATTAGTTTCAAATTCTTTTTTTATTTAATTTTAAACCACCCCACCCCCCCAAATCTTGGGTATCTCAGTTATTTTTTGAAGGAAAACGGTGTCTTGTGTTTTGAAAACTAATTGATTATGGCTTAAAGTCAGCAGACAATCTGTGGACATCCAGCTGTTTCAAAACTATAATCCCATTGTTTTTCCCCATTATCTACACCCATTATTTGTGTTACTTATAATTTATGACCTGTTTCATTTTGACTTCTTCATTGTCATGTTAAATCCCAAATATAAAAGCTGATCTTACTGCAATTTATGTCGATAAATAAATTTATAAATAAAATACATTTATCATGATTGCTAAATCCTCACACTAAATCCTGGTAATGCTACTTATTTGCAAACCCTAATGCTAACCAAGAGTTTTAGATTCCAACTCAGTTTTCCTTAAGTTTCATTTTGTTTATGTATGGGAGTCAGAGTCCAATTTATAAGTACCATCACAGAGTAAGATCTGAAAGTGTTTTCTGGGACAATTTAATTCAATTTCATGCTGGAATCTCCCTTTTAAAAAATTATTTTTAAGTAAGTTTCTTTAACGGAGTAGTATATTCTGAGATTTGTTCCTGTATTTTTCTGCCAGCTTCTGTATATTGCTCTTTTTTATGCTGAATATTGTATATGACTGAGTGTTTGGAAGTTGACTGGATATATAGAAAAGGATGCTGCTGGAAAGTGATGGCATATTGAATTAGGATTACCTCTATTTAAAAGTGGATATAAATCTGATTTTAAAAGGGACCATTACAGGGGCTGGATAAAACATTTAAACAGTGCTTTGAAAAATATAATAGCAAAGGGACCCCACCCCGCACGCTTCTGAAGTGCTAAAGTCTTACATCCTTGAGATAGCTATTCCAAAGACTGCCTCTGGCTGTTTGCGTATGTGGGTGCAGGTACAACTGTGCCAGCAGTCCCAGTGGAAATGTCTGCATACGAATACACAGCTGGCCAACCAGGAAACCAGCCTTCCAAGCTTTCCAAAGGAGACAGCTGTTTTTCTGCTTTAAGGAAATGAGCTTTGCTGGTGTTAGTGCATTTGTTAAACACTTCTTTCATATGTGCTGTACAGCCTTAGGAAACTTTAATAAACTTCAACAAAGATCTTATAATTTTTCTCTTCTCTTTTTAAAATATGATGATAGAGGTAAGGATGCCATTCTTTCAGCAATCGTTTGGTGTGGGGTTTTTTCTCCTGTGGTATTAAAAGTGGAGCAGGAAACCTGGTAGGTGCTATGAGCATTTTAGCAATAAGAGATGACTGGGTTGAAATAATGATTCAACAGAAGAACATCAGGGTTTTCCCCCCCCTTAAAACTTGCAAGAAAACTTGCATATTTTTCTAAAGGCAGAAACTACATCATTTCCTCACTGCTAGATTCCTATTATTACCATAAAAAAAACCATACCATGTTAGCCATAATAAAACTGTCGTGTCAAATGTTCTAGGGTGGTTCCTGAACCTGAGCTCAGTTTAGTAAGAAAAGTAAGAAAAAAATAAACTATCTTGGCTGAAATATAAAACAAAAAACCAAAATTCAGGTATTTTGTTAATAGGAATGTCTCAACCTTTTATGTCCATGAGCCATTTCATGCACAGAATTGGATGCAAGTTTTGGTTATACATACAGTATAACAACATTTTGTATTCGTGGAACAGAAAGTTTTGTTTTGGGTGGGAGGGGAAATGGGGAAAGTTAAAAAAAACTGAGGGGAGGAACTGAAAAAATTGGTGGGTGGGAAAGAAAAGACAATGCAGATTTGCTGCATTGGGACACTGAAAGCGATGAAATGGAAGTGCTGGAAATGTAGAGAGCAGTCATAAGGTGGGTTATGCTAGGTACTAGTAATAACAGTTCACCAGAATCTCCAGGATGCTGCGGTTTTGTTTGAAAGAAAACAATTTGGCATTACAGTGCAAGCTCCAACTCAATGATCCATTTCGCTTAACTTCAGCAGCCGAGTTCACACTATCTGCTAAGATCGTGTTTCTCAACCTTGGCCATTTGAAGCTATGTGGACTTCAACTCCCAGAATTCCTCAATATTGGCTAGGGAATTCTGGGAGTTGAAGTCCACACAGCTTCAAGTGCCCAAGGTTAAGCAACAAAGCGGATTGAAATCTGATTATACTTTTATTATTATCTCTGTGGACCACTCCTGAACCCGTTTTTGGGCCTCCCCTAAATTAAACAAAGACAAAGCATTTGAATGCTCCAACACTGGAAGTTTTTAAGAAGAGATTGGATAACCATTTGTCTGAAGTGGAGTAGGGTTTCCTGCCTAAGCAGGGGGTTGGACTAGGAGACCTCCAAGGTCCCTTCCAACTCTGTTATTCTATTCTATTCTATTCTATTCTATTCTATTCTATTCTATTCTAGTGTGTTGTTTCTTTTCAGGGGCCCAATTACTTAAGCCTTGAAGTCCCCAATTTCACCTTTTGTCAAGCTCAGTTCTGGCTTCAGCCACTTTTAAAATAACGCACTCCCTGGAGGCGGCATCCATGGTGCACCCGGCAACAGAAGGGCCGCCCTTCTGAGCAGCCTTCGCTGTTTTGGTTTACCTACTACGGGGAGTTAATAGGAACCAGGAAAAAGGGCCTTTTGAGAAGGCGGCGCGCTAAGGCCCTTAAGGTGGGGGAGGGGGGGGAAAGGCGGCTGTTATCGGCAGCTTATTTCCCCGCCACCGGGAAGTAAAACCACCCCGGGATCGTTTTGATCGCCCGGAGGAACCGCAGCCCCGCTTCCTCCAGCCCACCTCGCCGCTGAGGCAGGGACGGGCGTCTGCTCTCGCCGCCTCTTCCCTTCGGAGGAGGAATCCCAGCCGGCCCTTCGCTCGACCGACGGACGGGAGGGAGGGAGGGCGGGCGGGCGACCGAGAAGATGACCCAGGCGGAGAAGGGGGAAACAGCCGCTGCTGCGGCGGCTGCAGAGAACGGGAAAGACAAAGAGCGCGACAAGGAGAAAGAGCAGCGCGGCGCCAAGAGGCCCATCGTTCCCGCCGCCGTGCCCGACTCGTTGCAGGAGGTGAGCTCCGCGGCCGGTGCGCAAGGATCGGGTTCAGCCGTGGAGTCCCCGGCCGGGTCCTTTCCAACGCCGGGGCTTCGCAGCCGGCCTCGCATCCACCGAGCCAGACTTGCAGGAAGCCTCCGGCGATGTGGAAAGCTTTCTCGGCAGCGCTTGTGGTCATTCAGGCCTGCTTTTTTTGCTGTTGCCTTGGCATTTCGCCCCCACACCCTCACCCCCCACACGGTTGTATTTCCCTAGGAAATCACCCGGAAGGCCTCGGGCGCTCAACTAGCCTGGGAAGCCAAGCATCAACCCGGAAGCAGCATGGGCTATCTCTTAAGGGTGGATGCGCCCGGGTAGCCATCAGGAATAGAATAGAATAGGATAGGAATAGGAATAGGAATAGGAATAGGAATAGGAATAGGAATAGGAATAGGAATAGGAATAATAGGAATGAACTAGAATTAGAATTAGAATTAGAATTAGAATTAATTAGAATTAGAATTAGAATTAGAATTAGAATTAGAAACAGAAACAGAACAACAGAGTTGGAAGGGACCTTGGAGGTCTTCCAGTCCAACCCCCTGCCTAGGCAGGAAACCCTACACGACTTCAGACAAATAGTTTTCCAACATCTTCTTAAAAACTTCCAGTGTTGGAGCATTCAAAGCTTCTGGAGGCAAGTTGTTCCTCTGATTAATTGTTCTAACTGTCAGGAAATTTCTACTTAGTTCTAAGTTGCTTCTCTCTCTTAAGTTGATTAGTTTCCACCCATTGCTTCTTGTCCTACCCTCAGGTGCTTTGGAGAATAGCTTGACTCCCTCTTCTTTGGGGTAGCCCCTGAGATGTCGGAACACTGCTATCATGTCTCCCCTAGTCCTTCTCTTCATTAAACTAGACATATCCAGTTCTTGCAGCTGTTCTTCATATGTTTTAGCCTCCAGTCCCCTAATCATCTTTGTTGCTCGGTTGAGCTCGGTTTGATCAAGTATTCCCCTTGCTTTAGTTTACTTTGTTGGGGAAATGAGTGGTTTCTTGGACTGTAGTCATTCCTGTTGGTGACCCCGTTTTGAGCGTGTCTTTAAATATATATATTGATTGTAGAGCCTTAAGTGAGTCAGGAGGAGAAACCTTAAGTTACTGTAATGTTATTGTACTACTGCATGCTCCTCCCCACAAATGCAGGGTGTTTTTTTTTCCCTATTTCATTTATAAGTACAATGACTATATTTTTTGGGAAAAAGTCAAGGAGAAACAAAAAAGGGTGTAAAATCTGAAAGAAGTTCGTAAGGATAACTGCTTATAACTCCGTTTCACAAAGAAAAATTCAAGACCAAAACCAAGAAAATAAATAAATCTAAAGGACAGCTTTCTAAAATAAAGGATTACCTCTTAATATAATAGAAAATATATGGTCACTGTATTTATAGGTAAATTGCACATTTGACTTATTTTGTGGCCATACTTGTAGCTTGAAGTGATACAGGTAGTCCTTGATTTAACCAAAGTTACAAAGGAACTGAAAAAAGTGACATGATTTTTATGACAGTTGTAGTGTCATGTGATTGTGACATTCTGACAAGCAAGGTCAGTGAAGAAGTCAGATTCACTTAATCATGTTACTAACTTAAGGTAAAATGGGACAAAACTCACTTAATAACTGTCTTGCTTAGCCATGGAAATGTTGGGCTCAGTTGTGAGTCAAGGACTACCTGTACTATCTAACCTATAGCAGTTGTTCAAATGTGTCTCTTAGATAACTTGATGTTTAGTAAGAATAAAATCCACTGAGACCAAGTATTAAAATGCTATATACATAATCTCTCTTGTGTTTGAATATTATGTGGGGACCTCGCATAAGAAAATCTATGGGATTTTTAAAATATTTATTTTCTCCAAGATTTAAGATTCTCTCTGGAATTTATCAAATTGGGGACATCATGTTAAATCTGTGTACTTAATTGTTTGCAATGTTATAATGTAAGTCTATTCAAAAGTAAAACCTATTCAATAGAGCCATTTCTAGATAACACTACATAAGTATCAATCTGCTCTTTCACTCTCCCATATTTAGGCATACATATATGATTTTTACTTAGATTTGTATAAGGAAGTGTGCAAGTATACTATACTTTTTCATTGCTTTTAAATCAAAAACTTTTTATTGATATAAAGGGAGTCTGCAATAAAACTGCATAACTCAAAAACGTAGGATAGCTTACAATGGAATAAGTTTAATTTATAATATTGTCACAGAAATTTGTTTTCAGAATAAAATATGGGCTTGTTTTATTATTTTTAGCAAATCCAGAGCAACTTCATTATTGTGATACATCCTGGCTCAACAACTTTAAGGATTGGAAGAGCCACAGATACACTTCCTGTTAGCATCCCTCACATCATCGCAAGAAGACATAAACAACAAGGACAAATCTCATACAAAGACAGTTGGCTTCTAAGAGAAGGACTCAATGTAAGTCTTCTATTTTTTGGTCTTACATGAAACTGAATCAGTTGTTGCTTATATTTTCATGGCTTGTTCTTGTATGCTAAATTTGTGCTGTTTTCCAATCCTTTCATATCTATGCCTGTGATTTCTGCTTGTGCATTATGCCTAACAAATAATGCAAGAGGGGATTAAGACTTACTCCACACCCTGTAAGCTCTTTTGTGGAATACAAATGGCTTTTATTAAATTACCATCATCAATAGATTATTTGTATGTTTTCTAAATGCGTGGAAACTAAAGTTTTGTTACATCATCCAGTTTCTAGTTATGGGAACTGTATTTTTTATCCTTTGAAGGCAGAACATACTTTGTCAATAATGTTATTTCTGCTGTAGGGAAAGCTCTGAACTTAGATCATAACAGTCATCTTGTCACAGACTACTGCACACATAAAACTTTGATAGCATCTTCTTGTTACTAAATGAGTGTAATGCTCAGGGCTGCAAGGGTCTGAAGTATTAATAAACAGTCTAAAATCCAATAACCAATATATGTATCTAAATCTTCCACCTGACTGCTGAAACAAGGATTTTATTCAGAAGAAATTTCCTTCATATTAAATTAGGGCCCTTTGCTACATCAGTTCCAGCAAGTGTAATGTCTATAATATTATCACAATCATCAGGGGTTCCTATAGGATACCACCGAAAAAGCCTTTCTGAGTTCCCAGATACTCAGGGTAGGGATGGTTCACCAAGATAGGGGAAATGAGCAAAATGAAAGGATACTCTTTATTACCATTCTTCAGTCATATCATAGGGACTTTCCTATTTCTCCAGGTGGTTGAGGTGGCATTGGTAGCAATAAGTATGCTAGGATAGCCTGTGTGGATAATGAAATGGGAATATAACCTGCAATTAGTTTGATTACTGACAGCAGATGTTACATTTAAAGAGTTAACTTCCAATTCTTTAATCATCACCCACCCCCAAAGGCTCAGCCGTGCTATAGAGCAGAAGCAGGCACATCTGGACAAACATTTGGCTCAGGTCATTTCAGCAACTATTATAGTGGTTCAGGCAGTCCCAGAATGACAAACAAGGGTTAGTCCAACCCTAGTTTTGCCCAGTCCATCTTCACCATCTTTAGCTGGAGGGGTTGGTTCTGGCCACATGATCATTAGTCCCTCTTCATCTGCTAAGGCCTCCTTTATCTGGGAGAGATCACCATTTCTGCTTTTAGTTGGCAAATCTATAAACCAACATATTTTTAAATTTCAATTTAACAATTGAAAAATGACATTCAATTGTTGCCTGCTTTTTTTTTAGCCTAGATATCAATTTACCAGTCATTTTATGGAGGATAAATGAAATGCAAAATGTGGAAGTTTGAGTTTTTATATAATGGTATAGATTTTTTTTAAAAAAATAATAGATTGTTGTTATAGATTGTTAGTTTTTGAAATACTGATATAAAATAATTAGTTCTACCCTTGAAAGCAATCTAAATTACTGACTGATTTTATTTAGAAACCAGAAAGTACTGAACAAAGACAAAATGGGCTTAAAATGGTTGACCAAGCAATATGGTCTAAGAAGATGTCAAATGGTGCCAGACGTACACCTATATCACCTGATCAGGTATCTCATTTATAAACTCTGGTAATACTAATAGCATGTTTTAAGGAGAACCAGTAAAGTCTGATGAAATTTGAAAGCTCAAAGAGAGGAAGAGAAATGGTCACAGAATCAACTTTGCAGTAATTCAGCACTTTAGACAGAGTCTATTAAATATTAAGCGTCACAGATAAATAAAAAGATCTTTGAATGAAAAGCTTTTTGAGATAAAAGACTTAAAATGGCATGTTCCAAGTGAAATTCTGTATGTTGAACTTCATTAGCTGGCATTATTGACAAAAAGACCTCTCTCAAATAGTGCCTAGTAGCTTACATAGCTTACATAGCTTACATAGACTTTTGGAATATTTGATACTGTTTAATTTGATACTGTTTCAGATATTACGGCCTCAAGCAGGATTTTATAGGCTAACTTCAGCACTTCAATTTTGACTCCAAAATTAATTGTGAGGCAGCAATAACAATGTATAAATGATAATTGAGACTAAGAATTTCCTACACCAAGAAACATGATTATAAAGTGCAACTTCACATCACTACACTATTTAATGATGGAAATTCTAGAACTTCTGGTTGCCATTCTTAAGCAAATCCAATGCTTTCATGAAGCATGACAACACATGGTCACCATTTCCAACCTTTTACCAGCTTCCCCATTAGTTTTGCTTGTAAAAAACCAGTGTAGAAGGTTCAAATGGAGATCATGGGACCACAGGACACTGCAACCATTGTAAGTATGAGGATCTGTCGTAAGTACCTTTCACTCAGTACTGTCATAAGCTTGAACAGTTTCTGAAGGATGGTCATACGTGAGGACCACCTGTATTTTATCATATTTCACAGTCAATATCTACTCACCATAGTTTTGGCTAATTGAACTTTCAGAATTGTCTTCAAGGACAGTGGACAATATTTAGGAATATACATGATCTTGGAATTCAAGTGAACAACCTTGCATTATTAAAGTAAAGATTATTTTTTGTCTATAGCATGACTTTTTATTTCTAAGTGATTTCTTTAAATGTTTATTCTAGATCCGATCTTACAACAGACAAATGCGACCTGCTATTTTAGATCACAGCTCTGGAGCAAAATGGACAAATACTACTCATCACCCAGAATATGTTGTTGGTGAAGAGGTAGGGCTTCTTTTTTCCTCACTGCACTAAAGTTACATGTGTAATTTTATTTTAAAAGTTGTTAAACCGTATGCAACTTTAAGAGCTCTATTTTGACTTGATGCAATCATAAACTAAATGTGCTTGAAGGCCAATGCTTGCTCCAGTAAGGATAAATGATTCCAATCTGTCTTCAGTGAGATTCCATAGTTCTTCCAGGAACATCCCTTTGATCATTTCCATCCATCCTGTCCATTCTTTGGTTTCTTCTATTTCTCTCAAGCTTTCCAAGCATAATTCATTTCTTCTAATTGATCATCTACAAACATCACATTCACAAAGCTTGTACATTACTGTTTACCAGTTGTTGCCTCAAGGGGGCAGGTGGTCTTCATTATATCCTGAACAAGTTGTTCGACCTAGTAATGTTCTCCAAAACCATAGTTGGAAATAAATATCTTTATTCCAGCCTATTCCATGTCTGTCTAAAGAAAAGAAACTGCTGCTTAAAGAACGGCAGACGCATGCAGCATTCATGCTTTTGTACTTCCTGAAACAACTTTTTGGAGGCAAATGTAATATGGCACAACAGTGATATTTGTCAAAGAATTTCAAGCTCAGTGTTCATTAATTCTGATTGGTTTTGTGACTATTGTCATCCAAGAGTCAGTTAATTCTCTCCTCCACTAAGGACAGGCAGAGATCATGCAATCAAAAATTATGCTTTCCCCCAATTTCAGCACTGTCTATCTCATTTATTTCCTACTCTGTTCTGCCTTTTGGTGGGAACCTTTGTGGAGTCTCTCTGCATGGTTTTTTTACTTCTTTCTTCTTTCATTTCTGATTCTATTTTATGAAACAAATGCCCCTCTCATTTTTTCTTTCTGCTTCCCTGGCCATTGTGGCTTATAACGCTAGTGGCAAATAAATGTTCCTAAATTTGGAAGTCAAAGACAAATGTATTCACCAGGAAACCCAAATAGGCAAAATATTATATATTTTTAAATAATGTGTAATTGAGCAGTGGTCATTTGTATATAATGTATTCTTTTCTGTTCTTTCCAATTAAAAAAGCAAAATACAGTCCTTTTTTAAAAGCAAAAAATTGAGCGGGTAGCTGCATTATAGTTTGACGGATGTGATTTTTAGACTTAATTTCATTTCGAGTAGCACAAAGAAAGGGGAAAAAAGATCATTTGCCACAAAGGAGAGAAAGTTGATCAGAGAAATGGAACATGTACAGATAGCTACATAATATTGTGGTTTCAATCCATATTGATTCTGGCTCCTTCTCACATCAGCTGCAGCCTCATTTTGACAGTATACCATATTTTAGGCTGTTATGATATGTGGAAATTCCAAATACTTGTGATTAAATTTTACATGAAATGTTTTTTTATTTATATTTAGAGTTGCGGGAGAGAGATAGGTGGTGAATAAATTTAATAATAAATAAATTCTTATACAGTAAAATATTAAAATATGAATATAAAGTTAATATTACATATGATAACACCATCAGCGGAATTAAAACTGTTTCTAGTTAATATAAATTGTGTTTTGTTTGTTTCTTTTCATCCTTTTCAGGCATTATATGTTAATCCTCTGGACTGTTACAATGTTCATTGGCCTATTCGGCGGGGACAGCTGAACCTCCACTTAGGACCTGGAGGCTCCCTTACTGCAGTTCTTGCTGATCTTGAGGACATATGGTCGTATGCAATTCAAAAATATCTAGAAATATCTCTGAAGGATTTGAAGGTGAACAGTAATTAATGTCAAATGAATGTAACAATGACAGTCAAGTTTCTACCATTACAGGTAGTCCTCGACTTACAACAGTTCCTTTAGTGACTGTTGAGAGTTACAACAAAACTGAAAAAAGCGACTTATGGCCATTTTTCACAGTTACAACCTTGGTAGGATCCCCATGATCATGTGATCAAAATTCAGATGCTTGGCAACTGGTTCATACTTACAACTGTTGCTGTGTCCCAAGGTCGCGTGGTCCCATTTTGCGAACTTCTGACAAGCAAAGTCAATGAGGAAGCCAGATTCACTTAACAACAGGGTCACTAAATTATCAACTGCAGTGATTCACTTAACAACTGAGGCAAGAAAGGTCATAAAATGGGGCAAAACTCACAGATATTTCACTAACAACAGAAATTTTGGGCTCATTTGTGATCGTAAGTCGAAGGCTACCTGTATTACTACCATTAATATACCCTGAGGCCATATACCATGCTCACTTACATATTGTCCATCCCCTAGATCAGGAATGTCAAATTTGATTTCATTGAGGGCTGCATCAGGGTTGTGTTTGACCTCAGGAGGCCAGGGTGGGTGCGGCCAGGGTGGGCATGGCCAGCTCAACATCACTCATGTTGGGGGCACCTGTGATGGCCAAATGCTAAGGCAGGACTTCCCTTAGATCCTCCCTCACTCTCATTATAATCTTCCTCCCTCCCTCCCTCCCTCTTCATTCTCCTTTCTTCTTCCTTCCCCTCTCATTTTTCCTTCCTATCTTTCCTTTTTCTTCCCATCTTCCCTTCTTTTTCTTTCCCTTTCTCTTTTCCTGTCCCGTCTTGCATGCTCAAATACAAAAAGGGAAACATTTCTCCTTTTGTTTAATTTTTAGTTTGTTTTAATAGCCATCTGCCAGTGAAAACGCAGCTCCCAAGCTCCATTTTCGCTGGCAGAGAGCTGCAGGAGGCCATCATGGCCAAAAACAGAGCCTGGGAGGCCTGAGTGCAGCCCTCCCAAACTCCATTTTCACTGACAGAGGCACCGCGGGCCGGTCCCTTGCTGTTTCCAGAGTGGCCTTGCAGGCCAGATCTAAGCACCCCACGGACCAGATCCTTGAGTTTGACACTCCTGCTATATATTATAATAATTATTTATTTATTTGATTTATTTGATTTCTGTAGCCTCCCATTTCACATGTATGACCCTTAAGTGGCCTACAATAAAATAAATAATATATAGAATAGCATAAAAATAAAAAACACATAGCAGCCAAGCACTATCTTGTTTGAGTTGAACTAAAGCCTGTTGTGCCCCATCTGGCCTTGACAGCCTCAGGGCAATGAGATAGAGCTGCCATGCTGTAATTCAGGCAGTTGGTGGGATGGGGGGCATATATATCTTAGTATCATTAGCATATTGATGATATCTGCTCCCAAACATTTGGATGATCTCACCCAGTGACTTCATGTAGATGTTAAACAGAAGAGATAATACTGAGCCCTGCGGTATCCCACAAAGGAGAGGCTGCCAGCTGGATCTCTCTCTCTCCCACCCCACTCATCACCAACTAGACTGACCATTTCCTGGCTATCTAAATTATTTTATTTATTTAAATGCTGACATTAACATTTACCCCAAAATAAACCTATTTCAGGGGCCTGTTATTACTTAATTGTCAAATGGCATTGGTCATTCTGTCACATGACACCGTCCTCTTCTGTTTCCTTCTCTTGTTCAGTATTACAGATGTATTTTACTAATTCCCGACATCTATCATAAGCAGCATGTGAAAGAAATAGTAAATATGACTCTCCTGAAAATGGGCTTTTCAGGTAAATAAATCACTATAATCTGCTACCATGATGTTTTCAATTAATTTATGCATTTCAGTCACAACTGTTTTGTGAATTTGAATTATCTTTGGGATTCTTGCCATGCATCCATCTAGTGATAAATCCATCATTTTTAGCTGCCAAACTGAGATGCAAGTCTGGCTATAAAGATGGAATTATATTGATTTAAACCTATCTAGAGTATGTCTTGGCAGTGTAAACCTTTTTTTCACTGACTTAATAGTCTTCTCATTATGTACTTATATTGCCAAAAAAACCCTGAAGTATTTTCTACATTCCAATAGCAGTTTCTTAAGAAACCGTTGAAGAGTTGAAGAGTTCATTTAGCTGTTTTATTACTCATACAACAATCTTCTTAGACATGAAAGTTTGCACCTGGATGAGACTAGATAAGATTCAAGGCATTTGTGTGTGTGTGTGTGTGTGTGTGTGTGTGTGTGTGTGTGTGTGTGTATTGAACTTTGCCCTCTTGTGCCCACATAGGGATTCTAGACTAAGTCCCCCTTTGGCTCCTTCCCATGCCTTGGCCCTCTCTCTCCTATACTCTATACTTTATAAGATTTATAAGGGGAATGGTTGCACAATCACCAGTTGCCTCCCTAGTTATAATTTTTTATTTGTCAGACACTATGATTCACTTTCCCTCTCAGTCCATCCCCTGGTTTCAGGACAGCAGGGCTGTGCCATAAAAGCAATTTGTACCATGTACTAACCAACCAGCTCTGTCTGTGGGTGAGAGTGGCCATGAGTATCAGGAGACTCAGAGTCCTTTTTTGTCCTTAATAAATGGGGAAAGGATTGAGCCAATTCCATCTTTTGGGCACCCTAAACTGGTGTCCCACATGCAGAAGTCTTAAGCAACCACAGACTTAGAAGCAAAGTTAGCCCAAATGTTCTGGCAGCTGGAAGAGGCATATCAATATATCTCTTGTTTCATGGGTTAGGTTATCTCAGTTTTATTTTTCAGCCTTAAACTAGTTGTGTTGTATTGTGCACACACACACACACCCCAAATCTTGAATGTGATTCTCAAATCTATTTCCAAGAATAGAGGAGAAATGCAGCCTTAGACCTAAAAGACACCTCCTTTTTTAACGTTATACTTTGAGAGACAAAGTTTATATAAATGTCAGTGGTTAGTTGGGAAATAAAAAATGGTGAAATACAAATAGTTTTCCTGGGTAAATTGAGCAATTGGCAAAAGACACAGGTGGAATCAAGCATTTTTCTTATTTCTTTGACAGTGACACAAAGTTTTATAAAATGGGATTTGTAAATTGTTCTGCAGTGTATGACAAGTGCAAAGGTGTCTTTGTACAATAGAAATAGTATATAGCAGTTACAACATCCTTTTGTTTTTAGGAATAATAGTGCATCAAGAATCTGTATGTGCTACTTTTGGAAGTGGTTTAGGCAGTGCATGTGTTGTTGATGTGGGGGATCAGAAGACAAGCATCTGCTGTGTTGAAGATGGGGTTTCACATCATAACACCAGGTAACAATCAAAAGTTGGGAGCAAACATTTTACATATGTTCAATATTTTTAATAAAATTTGCACTACTATTATTCTTCTCATTGTTCCTCTAACCGGTCTCCTCCCACTTATGACTGTATGACTGTAACCTTGTTGCTGGTATCCATACGATTTATATTGACTGTTTCCTAATATGATTTGATTGCTTATTTGTTCCCTATGACTATCATTAAGTGTTGTACTTTATGATTCTTGATGAATGTATCTTTTCTTTTATGTTGAGAAGCATATGCACCAAGACAAATTCCTTATGTGTCCAATCACACTTGGCCAATAAACAATTCTATTCTATTCTATTTAACATTTTGTCCAGGCCAAAGAAGTCCTAATTTATAACCAGTTGCTTGGTGTTTGTTTGAAGTTTCAGTGGACCTGCATTTATGGGAATTTGCAAGGCCCTGCTGTCACATGACTGTGATTTATATTTTTGCCAGAATCCAGTGTTTACTTTTGGCTTCCGGCAAAAGCCAGCCCTGAGTGAACAAGTGATTTGCTTAATGACTGCTGCAAAAATGGTCATAAAATTAGGTCCCATAATGTGAAGACCCGATTTATGACCCTTACGATTTACATTCTTAATTGCAGAACTAAACTCCGGTTGTAAATTGAGGACTAACTGCATTTTATAAGGCCCTTTTAAGTATCTTTAAAAAAAAACTTTCTGAAATATTCTTAAAAATCACTGCAACTTTTGTGTTGGAAAATCACAGATTGGTGCCCCATATTGCTACAGCAAAGTTCATATTGGATCAAATAAATAACTGATTAATAACCATGGCTATAAAATTTCTTCTAAATGTTTTTAAATTTCTTTCAAGTTAAACAGCTTCTTCTGAAAAAGCTGATTTTCTCACAACTATGTGTGGGCTTTCCTCTTTTTTAGGTTACGTCTTGCATATGGTGGCTGTGACATATCAAGATGTTTTTATTGGCTTATGCAACGAGCTGGGTTTCCTTATAGAGATTGCCAGCTAGTTAAGAAGACAGACTGTCTTCTTCTCCAGCACTTAAAGGAAACATTTTGCCATTTAGACCAGGTAAGATCTAAAATTGTCAAGCTCTGTATTTTTTTTAGGTCAGAGACTGTTATGACTGAGGCATTTTAAAATATATGGAGAACGCATTTGAAAGTTTATAAAGCTAATGCATATAGAATTTATGACACTGAAAAGGGAGAAGTAAGAAAGAATTATGATGGCTTAGTGGTGAAGACTCTCACCTCCCACTTGGAAGGTTGAGAGTTCAATCCTAGGTAGCAGGCAGATGTTTTACTCCTAGGGCACAAAGTAAAAATATTTGCTGTGAACTCCACCTAGGTGTCAGGAAGGGCATCCAGCTAGTAAACTCTCAGTTCCATCCAGTTACCCTGACTATACCCTGTATAGTCTGCATTTAGGGTTGACTACAGGGTTGAAAAACGGGAAAAAGAAACCAGGAGACTGGGCAGCTGGATGACTTTGGGCTAGTCACTATCAGCCCAGCCCACCTCAGAGAGTTGTTTTGTAGGGAAAATAGGAGGAAGGAGTTTTAAATATGTTTGCTGTCAAGAAAAAGGGGGAATATGGCCCCCAGCTGCAAAATCATTGCTAATGTACTTTTTTAATGTTCTCAAAAGTTAAATCACAGAAAATACTTTTCACAGTTTGATGGACTCCTTAATAAAGTTTTTAAAAATGTCTTCTTTAGTTGTTACTAACTAAGCTACCGTGTTTCCCCGAAAATAAAACCCTGTCTTATATTTTTTTGAACTCCAAAATAAGCGCTTGGCCTTATTTTCGGGGAGGTCTTATTATTTTGGGGCATGTGGAGTAAGATGGGGCTTCTCTTGCCGTCTTACCTGATTTCCAACTCTGCATTTAAATATTTTCCGGGAGGGCTTATTTTCGGGGTGAGGCTTATTTTAGCGCATGCACTCAAAAGCCCGATTGGGCTTATTATCAGGGGATGTCTTATTTTCAGGAAAACAGGGTATTACTCTATGGGAAAACCATGAGTAATAGATTTCTCAGAAAGCTATTAGCTTAGCTTCCTAAGAAATCTATTACTGCTGGTTTCCCCACGGATTAGTAAATCATCAATCCTTGCTTACGTCACTGAACATTAACAAAAACACTTGACAAAAACACTTGACAAAAGACCTACTTGGCTATGATGCCTGAGTTACTTTTGAGAGAGTTGAATTAATTTAAGCTACACTTCAGAGAATCAATTTGGTTTACTGGTTAAGGCATCAAACTAGAAACTGGGAGACCATGAGTTCTAGACTCCCCTTACATCAGGGGTCTCCAGCCCCGGGGCACAGTCCACTACCGGCCTATTTGGAACCAGGCCATGCGAGCGGCATGCATACACACGTGCACACCACCTGCCACTCACACAAGTCAAACTGCGTGCTAGTCTGCCAGTCATGCAGCCCAGTTCCCCTCTTCCCCACCCCACCCTAAACCAGGCTGCCAAGCCGCAAAGGCTAGGCATTGTTGCCTTAGATAACAAAGCCAGCTGAATGATTTTGGGCCAATCACTTTGCTCAGCCCTAGAAAAGAGGCAGTGTTAAACCACTTTTGAAATCTTGCCTAGAAAACTACAGGGAATTGTCCAGGCCAGTTTAGTGACGTGAAGGCACCAAATGAACAAAAACCTAGTAACACTTCAGTGTGTTACTTCTGAGTATACACGCACAGTTAAATCTATAAAATATTTATACCTTTTTTTATTATTAGGATTTATCTGGACTGAAAGATCATGAGTTTCAAGTCCGTCATCCAGATTCTCCAGCTTTGTTGTATCAGTTGCGCTTAGGAGATGAAAAGTTACAGGTAAAAGACTGTGAGATGCATCCCTTATAGTGCTTTGAACGAAACAGAACATTTCTTTTCTTTTGAGCTTTAAATTTAAAAAAAGTTCCATTAGAAATTTCCCATCTATCTGTTTTACATTGGTTCAAGCATTGTATATTATGACGATGGGAAACGGTGGGAACTTGGAAACTGCTACTGTACTCGTTTATTACTCCAGGGTAGCAAGATCACATTGGGTGGTAGTCCATGATGAACTGTGTGCTACCTATCACCTACCGTAAATTGTGGGTAATTTGGCCAAGGACTATATTTGGATTTTTAGAAAAACATTAAAATAAATTTTCATGGGAAGTAATGGGAACATAGCTCTCTTCTGACTAACTAGAAAAAAATGATCTTCTTGTCCAGTAATCTCCGTTTGGGGGAATAGCTTGCACATAGAGAAGGTTGCTGGCTGAAAAAAAGAAGGATTTATAATATCTTTCATTACTGTGTTTATCTGGACGAAATAATCCTGTGGTTCCAGTTCCTCCATATCTTCAGCTTTTTAGAGTCAGTTAACTATTGCCAGTAATTCATACATTCTTAGTCTTGAATCTATCACTTCCTTCAGTTTACCACAGAATTCCTGTACGACAGCTGTAGAGGTACACAAAAGTTTATGCCATCTTGAGCTCCTCTACAAAAAGTGGGCTGTAAATCTAAAAAATAACCATTTCATTTTGAGGGTGCTTTTATTAGTTTATAATATAAAATACAAAAAAACACAAAAGAAAATAGGAGAAGGAGAAGAGAAGGGAAAACACTCTTCAGAGAGTATAAATCTTTCCCCTTTTACTAAAAAAATAAATATTAAATATTTTGATCTACATATTCTGCTGAGATAAATTATTTAATCATAGGTTATTTAATTGTAACCCAACTGCAAGAAGGATGGATGGATGAATGTATAGCTAAATATTGACAATAATTTGAAATTCTTCTTATCTTTCACAATTAGGCTCCAATGGCACTATTTTATCCAGCAACTTTTGGAATTGTGGGTCAGAAAATGATAGTTTTGCAGCACAGGTCTCAAGGTGATCCTGAGGACCCCCATGACGAACATTATCTCTTAGCTACACAAAGTAAGCAAGAGCAGGTGTGTGTGCGTGGCTTTCTCTTGATATTCCCCCCCCCCCCCCCGTATGCTGTACAATGAACTCAGTGTCTCATCTTATTTACCTAACACTTCCTTTCCAGAGTATTGGTAGATGAATTCTTTTCATGTGACCTGCCATGTTCTGGCATTCCCCGCTAAATTGGGCTAGAATTTCTGTGTGCCCGTAACTATGTTAACTAAGGATAATGTAGACCAGCAGATCTGAAAAGTATCAGGTTATGAGGATGAGAATATAGACAGATCAGGACTTCTCAACTACATATGGTGGTTATAACATGAGCATGCTTTTTCAGCTAATACTTGTAGTTTATAAAGTTGGCTTGTTTCAGCTATCTGTAAGATTATCTAGTGTTTAATACATAGATGTCATAAGAAACTGCACATAATTTAAAATAAAAAGACATTTTAGAAGTTCTTGCAATCATGCCAAAGAGGATAAGAGACAGCTATTACAGTTGGCACAGTCTCTCTATGTGTAATTGTGCTTGTGTGCTTATATGTACATTTCCAGTATTTAACTATACTGAATTATAATCACTATGATGCTTTAATTTGTTTTTGTTACCCAGATAACTTCTTTTTCAGGTTGTTGTTTTTTTAAACTAAAATCAATGTATAGGATTCCTATTTGGAAGTTATAGAATTGAGTTGAACGGATGTAATTATTGGCTACATTGGGATATCCAGTATAGGCAAGAAGAATACGCTAACCTTGCCAATTCTAGCTGAAACCAATTTTTGAGTCTCCCCCGGCAAATATAAGTGAGACCCTAGTATATATCCCTGCCAGAAGCCGCATAGAAAAGGAAGGATATGGATAAATAAAAATACACATTCATATTAATTGAATTATCTAATTATACAACAAAGTACCCCTATGTATAAAATTATTGATGCCCCACTTCTACCAAACTTTTTCTGTCACAACTACCTAATAACATAAAAACAGAAGTACAAATGCACACATTCACCCAGTGTGGGGGAGTCGAAGTAGTCAAAATGATAAGCCTGGCAATATGCAAGATCCATCACTTTTTTAGGTGAATTGATTTTACATATATGTATAAGAGGGTATGCCCCATCTTCTACCATGTCTGTTTTGATTCCCTCCCCCCTCTTGAAACATCACCACATCCTCCCTCTCTCCTGTTAATACCACAACTAGATGAAAAAGGATGGGAAAAATGTAACTGAACAGGGAAAGAATGAAAAGGAAGGAAAGTCTTGTTTAGGTATTAGAAAAAGGGTTACCATTCACTACATGGGGGATGGGCAACTATGGCAATTTTACAACTTATGGACTTCAACTCCCAGAATTTCTGAGTCAGCCATGCTCTATAGAAACCTTCTCACCCAGGCAAATGGCAATTACTAACTCATTTCCAAAGGTATAACTGAGTAACAGAATAGAGTAACAAAGTTGGAAGGTCTTCTAGTCCAATCCTCTGCTCAAGCAGGAAACCCTATCTCATTTTAGACAAATGGTTGTCCAATCTCTTCTTAAAAACGTCCAGTGTTTGAGCACCCACAACTTCTGGAGGCAAGTCATTCCACTGATTGATTGTTCTGTCAGGAAATTTCTCCTTAGTTCTAGGCTGATTCTCTCTTTGATTAGTTTCCATCCATTGTTTCTTGTCCTGCCTTCAGGTGCTTTGGAGAATAGGTTGACTCCCTCTTCTCTGACTGCCCGTTAGATATCGGAACACTGCTTTCATGTTACACCTAGTCCTTCCTTTCATTAAACTAGACATACTCAATTCCTGCAACCGTTCTTGCTTTGTTTTAGCCTTCAGGTCCCTAATCATCTTTGTTGTTCTTCTCTGTATTGTTTCACTTTTTAACAGCCACATCTGTGATCATTTGCAGCCGCCCTGAGTCTTCAGAGAGGGGCGGCATACAAATTGAATTAATAAATAAAAAATAAATAAGTTCATGTATTTCCTTATTTTCAACAGCAACTTCTTATTGGTGAATAAAAAAGCTGGTTAAATTGTTGAGAAATTGTTGAGTTTTTTTTAATGTTATTCTGGATTTTTGTGGTCAACTACCTTGATATATTAAAAAAATTGACAAAGTATTAAGTACTTCACAAAACAATACTTCAATTGTGTGTTCCCAGTTCTCATCCAATGGTATAGATGCCTGTGGTTTGGGATGGGAGAGTCAATTGCAGCAGTAAATACAGTTTCTTGGACTTTTTACATTAAGAATTGAGTCTGATTAATTAGGAAATAAACTTGAAGGGACAGAAATAGAATTGAGCCTTTAGTGCTCTTCAGCCTGAGTTGTGCTTGCTTTTATTGAGAGATAATCTTATTTTCCTTTTTCCAGTCTGCAAAAGCAACAGCTGATCGAAAATCCATGACCAAGCTGGGTGGATTTGATGGAGATCTCCGAGGCCAATCTTCAAGTGCTGCTGAAAATGTTTATCCTTCTGAAATGGATTTAGGCAGTTCTCATAGTGACTGCATTATTGGTGGAAATGAATCTGAAGAAATGCTAACAACTCACATGTCCCGAAAAACTGCTGTATCTCAGTTTGAAGGGAAAGCTTTAGGCCTTGACAAAGCAATTTTGCATAGCATTGACTGCTGTGGTAAGAAAACTATTATTTTGTATGATATGTAATACTAATTATCGTAGGCAAGATTAATGCTAGTCACAAAAGATTTCATTAGTGTGTATGAAATACTTTTAATACTTTTCCTATTATTGTATTAATCATTATTTTTCTAATTTGTTAGCTACAGTTTATTTACAGTTTTCATGTGCACTTTTCTAGCATCAGATGATACCAAAAAGAAAATGTACAGTTCAATCCTTGTAGTTGGAGGTGGCTTGATGTTCCACAAAGCTCAAGAATTTCTTCAACACAGAATTCTCAACAAAATGCCTCCCTCTTTCAGGAGAGTTGTTGAAAACGTAGAAGTCATTACAAGACCAAAGGTATCTTTGAATGGATTTATGCAGGTTTTCAAATAGGAAAGCAGCTGGGGGTAGCATTAGGAAATGGGAGGGAATTAATTATGCAGTAGTCACACATTTTGAGATGAGCAATAGGCTTTCTGTTCCATTCACAGGGATGCTTCACCCACAGTACTGCTGTGAGCATAGGTTGAGATGACCACGTCTCCCAAAGGCTCAGTTGCAGCATTCAAGGGTTTTCTAGAATTACCTATCCATGACAGTTGTTTGTACAGAAGTACACTTATGTGGGGATTGGCAAAATTTTCCGTAGATAATAATAATTGGCAAAATCTTCTGTAGATAACAAAACCATCTTTCAGATAATTACTACTTGTAGCACCAGTTTTATTATACTAATATGTATTGAATTGAATTAGTCTATGATAAAAAGTATGCACTGGAATCTATTTGACAATTGAAGAAATGACAAACTTTAGAATAGTTGGCAAAGTAAAAATACGTTTTCCAAAAGTTGGTTCTAGCTATTCTTTTAGAGCCTTTAGAATTTATCCATATTTGTAAGAGTTCAAGGAACCAGATCATGTTTAAGTTTTAATGGTATGATATTTTTATATCTGTTTAATATCAGGACATGGATCCACGTTTGATTGCTTGGAAAGGTGGTGCTGTTTTAGCCTGCCTAGATACAACACAGGAGCTCTGGATTTATCAACGAGAATGGCAGCGCTTTGGTGTCCGTATGTTACGTGAAAGAGCTGCATTTGTGTGGTGATCCAGTATTATTTAGAAATAATAGAAGGTTTCCTTGATCCCTAGTTTTGTGTTTTAAATAAACAGATTAAATTATTTCCTCTGAAATCATTTAAAAATAAGGCATCAAGGTATTAAAGATTTCTCTAAACCCTCTCCTCTAGTTCAGTGTTTCTCAAACTCGCAACATTAAAATGTGTGGACTTCAACTCTCAGAATTCCCGAACCAGCCATGCCATGTTTCTGGAATTCCCTAGCCAGCCAGCCCTACTGGCTCTGGAATTCTGGGAGTTGATGTTTACACATCTTAAAGTTGCCAAGTTTGAAAAACACTATTATGGTTGAATATTTTATTATGATCTTAGTGAAGTCTGTGACAGAAAATACAAAGCATTTTTTTAAAAAAAACCCAAATCAAAAACACAACCAAGATGTGCACTCATTCAGGGCACCAGACCAGGGCACCTATTGAAATAATGCCAGTTGACAGAACTGGTACATAGATTACATCTTTCAAAACTTCCTGGCTACTAAATACACATTGTCCAAGCACCTACAAGTCACTTTATTTATTTCATTAGATTTATTGACTCCAAGGCAACTCTGGGTAATTCACAATCATATATGTATCTTCTCTTTCTCACACAAAAACAGACCCACCAATATTATAATATGAAATATATTATAATATGAAATATATTTTAAAAATACATTTAGACACCACTCTTAATTCCAAAAACCTATATAACAAGACTATATTTTCCTTACCCCAAAACTTGGAAGAATGCCATCAGAATAGGAGTTATACAAATCTTTGGAGAAAGTAGGATCTTATTCCAGAGAGCAATGTAGGTTGTGAAGGACATACTAAGGAATGCCCATCATTATCAATGTTGTGGCAGTGATAGTCAATGGCAGTGTAGACTATATTGCAAGTCAAACCACAAAGGGACTATCGCACGAATGGCTGTCTGAAAGGCACAAGTGCTGCTGTGCAAAGGCCTCATGGTCTTCAAGCAGAAGTTGCATGTTGAAGACCATCCAGACTGGGCACTAGATTTGAATACTGCCCCATCCAAGATCTGGAGGATGCTAAAATCCACAGCCACTCAGGTTCTGTAGGATTAAGTCAGAGATGTTTTTCCACATCCAGATCAAGGCAGTCTCCAGACACTGAGACAGGACATCAATGACATATTTGACTGGTTCAGGATTGAGATGTATCTATTATCAGCATGCCGAAGTTACTGATTGCTGAACTGATGAATTACCCCAGCCTGCAATTTTATGTAGACCTTAAACAGGAGGAGCAAGAGCATTGAATCCTGTTGGCACATGACACTGGGGGGAGGGGGGACTGAGGGAGCAATCTCTCTCCCCAATGGAAAACAATGTATTTGTGTAAATATGTTATTCACATTCCATTAAATTCAAGGCTGTTTTAAGTTTTTAAAGCAAGTGTGGGGGAAGCTTCTTTTCTGTCACTTTCTGTAACAAAGTAGAACAAAACAAAACACAGTATGATTTGTAAGTTCTGACTGAAGTAATGCATATCTGGGGCTTGGCCAACACATTTAGCTGCCAGCAAATCATGAGGATATGAGTCAGTAGAAGAGCTTGTGAGGAGGAACCAATAGGTGTTTGTGGTAATGAAGTTTTATATTGTGCAAATGAAATGCTTGAGAAATCCACATCTAACATAGGAAGCGGGAACATAATTTCTATCATGGGCCCAAACTACAATGATTTAAATACAATCGCGATTGTCTGTCAAGCTCTAGGGAAATCAGGTAATTCAGGCAGTTCAAATGAGTATAAAGATATATTGCAAGCTTAAGCACTCTACAAAAATCTGAGCTACTAACAGTCAAGGGAACTGAGCAGGAATTAAGAAGGCATTCAAGGTGGGCTGGACTTCGATCTCTTGCGGGCACACAGGACTCATGGTGTGTTTGACTCCTCCCTTGGGCTCAGCCCGGTCATCTGCTACACAGTCCTTTTAATCCCTGGAAATGAATTAGCAACCATATCTATTCTGAAATTGTTAACATTCACTTTCCTAAGTACAGGAGATGATATCAAAAAACTGTAGTTTCAGAAATTTGGAAATAATTATTTTTATTGGATAGTTCTGAATGACACTCGAGTTCATTTCATTAAAGCGCTCCATGGCATAGGACCAGGATATCTACGGGACCGCCTTCTGCCACCAACAGCCTCCCACCGACTAGTTCGCTCCCACAGAGAGGGACTCCTCAGGGTACCATCGGCCAAGTTATGTAGGCTGGTGACACCCAGGAGGAGCCTTCTCTGTCGGAGCTCCTGCCCTTTGGAATGAATTGCCCCCGGATATTCGTAACATCTCTGACCTCCGGGTCTTTCGCTGTGCCCTCAAGACCCTACTGTTCCGACAGACGGGGCTGTCTAACTGAATGATTTTAAATTGGGTTTTAATTTTGGCTTTTAAAATTCGGCCAAAACTATTTAATGATCTTAATTAATTTTTCATTAATTACTTAATTTTAACTATGATATTGTATATTTATGTTTTAATTCTGGCTGTACACCGCCCCGAGTCCTTCGGGAGAAGGGCGGTATATAAATAAAATTATTATTATTATTATTATTATTATTATTATTATTATTATTATTATTATTATTATGTATAGCTCATTTGAAAAGACAACTGAGTATCACTAAATTAGACATTAGCTATTGATGAGAAATATGCAACAAGTAACTGGAATATCCCATTTGAGCAAATCAACAGCATTTTAAAAAATGCTGATCTTATAATCTAAAGTTGAAATTAATTCAAGAAAATATTTATTTATTGGATTCTCAGTAAGTTCGCTGTTTATCAATTTCAATTCTGTAATCTGGAAGTGCAATATGAGAGGAGTACCCTGAACATATTTTCAGCTAGTTTTCTGGTGATCCTGTTTTGGCTCATTTGTTTATATGAAAGTTTCAGAATGTGAATGTCATATACAACATGAACATGTACATCAAACATCTGGCATTTACCAATTTATTGTGCATGGAGTGTAACCAAAAAGATTGTTTTACTTCTATGGGATGAAGCAAGTTTTTTCCCGTCTTTAACGACCCTGTAATCCCTTGCATCATGGTGGAATCGAGACAACTGAATGGATCTGAACATTTACTTGCTGGATGCTCTTCCTGACACCTATGCGGAGCTCACAGTAGTTATTTTTTCTTTATGCCCAGAAAGAGAAATATTTGTCGTGACCTAAGACAAAGCCTCCTGATTGTGAGGTCCACTTCTAGACCACCTTGCCACTCCTATGAAATAAAGCTTCTGTACTAGATTTAAAATTCTGGATTGAAGATAATTGCTGGATAGACCATGTGGTCATAGTGTAATCTATTGGTTAAAAGTAATTATGTGTTTTACTATGCCCTGTTTCTTCCTTTTTTATTAACTTTTGTACCAGATTTTTGTATTGTTTTTGTTATTTTTTGTATATTAAAGCAGTAAAAGTATAAAAATAGTGCAAAAGAATTAGGGGTGTAAAAGTATGAAAATTTCCAACTTACAATAGTAATTCACTTATAGTTAGAAGAGAAAAAAGAGTAACAATCTTTATTTTAATACTATAGCTGCAATCCAGGTCTAATTTTAAATTTCCAGGTCCACTTCTTTGCAGCTTTATACCTCTGACTTTGTGAAAAGGAAAGATCTCTACAAAAGGAGTCAATATCTTTCATTAAAAAATAGTTTGGGCAGATGCTCAATGGACTTGGTAGAACTGGGTCTGGATGTGTTTCATTGAAAGAAACAACCATGTACTTGCAAAGAGAAGAATCCATTTTCCAATCACTGCAGAAGAAGTGTAATGCAAGAGTGAACATACATTCAGAATTCTTCTGGTTTTCTATAATGCTCTTACAGGTTGAATCACACAAAGCACTTGAGTAGGTTGGGCAAAGAAAAATGACTTTATCAGCAATTCCTTTCTGAGTAGCAAGCCATTGCACAGGTCCTATTTCAGCAATTCTCCGTTTTTGCCACAGGTCTATTATAACATTACAGTGACAATATTCTTGTAGAAAGTCAGCAAAATTTAGGACGGTATGCTGTAAACAGGCTTCTTGAGAATATACAACAAGAATAGTTATGGGTTTTTGTGCTGTTATAGGATAGAAATGAGCCAGATTACGTGCCAGACCTGTTTTAAAAAAAAAAGCACCACTGTTAAAATAAAACTAGGAGCAAGCAAGTTCACATTTAAGTACGGTAAGCTGAGAAATAAACAGTACTTGTTATCCTGGAAATATACTGTGGCATGTAGTTTTACAATACAAATTAGCTGACAAATATAGTTTAACATTCGTATGGGACAACAGAATGCTGAAAAGCAGCTAAACTAGAAATATTGTGGAGTTACTGGTTTAATACTACAGTATTTCTTACCAATTAAAAATAGTTTGTTATCATATGCCACATCTTAACATTTTCTGCAACAACTACTTTCTGAGTAATTGTGACTGCCTCCATCTTTTCCTTTCAATATTTTCTCTAATCTCTTTTTAAAGATTATCTCCATTCTTTCTCATCTGCCTACCTCCCAATCATATGTCCCATACTCAGAACTATTTGCATGTGCTAGTGTTTGAGTTGCCACAGGACTTGTTATTTTCCCAGTAAATGTTATAAAATACATGCGCATTTTGAAATCCTGCAGTTTCTTGGAATTTAGACAAGGATCTGGATTCGGAGGGAGCACTTCCTTTTTCCCACTCCCCCTCATGTCACAGAATTGACAGGAAAAGTCAAAGTAGCACCTAGGATTTCAACCTTCTGAGTCTTCATTTGTGGACAGAAGGTAGAGGAGAGACTATAAACAAAACCGAATAAAATAAGCTCTTACCATGCTTACTCTTGAAATAAAGCACAGCAGCAACTATGCACACTATCAGAAGTAAAGTGATGGATATGCCAGCATATGTTTTTTTCATATCTAAATGAGAAAGAAAACAGATTTGTAAAATTGCAAGATTCTTTTAAAAGCTTAACATTAACTTAATAAAAAATGAGCAATTGCCATTTCTAATTCTCAAAAGATTATAAAATGCATTCTCATGTATGCAAATGGTGATACAGCACAGATGGAGGTGAGACGTTAGAGCTTAAATGAGAAGATGTGGGAAATCTAGAATATGTCAGAATAACGGGTGGTTGTCTCTAAATTCACAAAGACTAGCAAAGCAATCTTCTGATCATGATCTAAATTAGGAATTGGCAACTTGAAGCTTCCCAGTCCATTTTGTAGCCTTTGGACATTCTTCTAACCATGATTGCTGAAATCTGCCAATTGGCAGGCATTTTGAGAGGCTAGGTAAATACCATAATGAAAGCTTAAAATAGGAGTATCACCATTAAGAAACAAACTCAAAACCTTCTGCTTAGAACTGAGACCAGCTTGTTTGCTACGTCTACCTCTAAGTTGTAGTTCTCAACCTCCCCAAAATGTAAATATTGACTCTGGCCACAGATATGTTGCTTATCCTACCATCATCATGATCACCCACTCAAAAGGTACAAAAGGAAAAAAGCCCCAGAAATATCTAAAATGGTAGCCAGCCACAATGTAGAACTAATGGCTAAATGGAATCCCCATATTCAGTGTCAATGTATCTGGTTATCATAAGCTCAGAGACACAGAAAGGAAGTCTTTATTTGGCAATCAAAGACTGCCTAAGTCAGACTGCGGACTGTAAAGAAGATCTTTATGACATTTCCAAATGAAAATTTCCATTTCCTTTATGACATTTCTTATTGCTTTTAGAATGCATAGAGCCAAATATGGGTTTAAGCTTCCATTATTCACTTTCTAAACTAAAACTCCATGCACTCATATATCCATACTCCTTTGCCAATAAGTAAGGCTTATCCTGGGAATCTTCTCTATGTTGATTGGGGTCTGTAACATCCAGAACAGCAATTCTCCAAAGCACATGAGAGCAGGACAAGAAATAATGAGTGGAAGCTCATTAAAGAGAGATCCAAACTGGAACTAAGGAGAAATTTCCTGACAGTAAGAACAATTAATCAATGGAACAGTTTGTTTCCCAGAGTTATGAGTGCTCCATCGCTGGAGGTTTTCAAGAAAAGATTGGACAGTGTTTATTTCGGATAGTATAAGGTCACCAGCCTTGGGCAAGTGGTTGGACTAGAAGACCTGCAAGGCTCCTTGCAGCCCTGTGATTCTGTGATTTTCATATTATTATCCTTTTTTACAGAGTTATTATTTGAATTTATCTTCTTCACTTACAATGTCCTAGAAATAATTTTTTCTTTATATAAACCTTACAAAACTGTCTTATCTTTTCCCCCCTTTTTTTCTGACATGGAACTGATAAAATACCAAGTAGCTAAAGATAAAGGCTATCATGGTCTAATTTAAATTAAAAGATACAGAACAAAATA